TGTCAGGTTTATTGCTAAGGTGTTAAGGTCATGTTGACCTCATGAGTTGAGAACTAATCACTCTTTTGTTGTATTCTTTGAGAGACTTTACAAATATTTGGATTATTTTTCTTAAATATTTAGAAGAAATTGTAGGTGGATTCACCAGGACCCTAAGATTTTTTGGGGGGGGGTTTAAATTACAGATCAAATTACTTAAATAACTATAAGATTGTTAACTTTAAAGATTTTTCCATATGTCCATCCTGATATTCTTCTAAAAATTAATATATTTCATTGAAATTTTTAATTAATTTATAAAACATTGTTTATAATACCTTCTTAAAATGATTATAATATCTGTACAATCTGATATTATGGATATTAGTCATTTGTGCATTTTCCTTCAGTAGCATTCATATTATTATCTCTATTACTTTTGTTTCTGTTGAATACCTCTTGTATATTTTTTCTTCTATTTCATTAATGACTACATTCAAAACTTTCTTTTCTATATTTTACCATGTTTCTGGATCTTTCTCTTTCCCTCCCTCTCTCTCTTTCTAAACTTTTTTTAACACCTTGATTATTGATGTTCAGACTTTTCAAATGCATGAATGATTAAAATTCTAAGAGTAGTTTTTGTGAATCTTTCAAGTTTGATACATCATATTTTCTTTATCTTTTAGTTCAAAATATTTTCCAGTGTCTTTTCTGATTTTTCCTTTGGCATGTGGGAGTACATTGGTTAACTTCTAAATATTTGGTTAGGGACGTATTCTAGTTACCTTTGACTATTGCTGTCTAATTTAATACTATTTAGAGCACAGCACATCACTTGAATGATAAAACTTATTTGAGATTTCTATCACCACAAATATAATATTTTCTTGTAGTTTCCAGAGCACCTAAAAAGAATGTGCACTCAACTTTCATTGAGTCCTGTGTCCTAAAATGTCAATTAAACAAATTTTTACTAACTGTATTGTTCAAAACCTCTACATCTTGGGTTTTTTACTATTGATTAGTTCAGTGAATAATGTTAAACCCTCCTGCTACGATTATCAATTTGTCCATTTAGTTTGTTGTAGTTCTGTCAGTTTCTGACTTACGGCTTAAACAATTATGTTATGAAACATGAAATCTCAGCATTTCCATGTCTTTTTTGTAGATTTAACCCTGTATCATGATGAAATGTCCCTCTTTATTTCTAGTAACAATTCTTGTGTTTCTACATTTTCTGGTAGTAGTATTGCTAGGTCAGTTTATTTTAGTTTTAATTTGTTGGGTACAATTTTTCCATTCTTTACCAGCTTTCTGTACTCTTTGTGTTTCAGATGTACCTTATAGAGATAGAATATAGGGTTTTATTTGTGTGTGTGTGTGGTTGTTTTTTCCTTAGTGCATGTGAAAATCTTTGTGAGAGCACATTTATTCTATTCACCTGTAGTGTGATTACTACCATAGGGTCACATTCTACTGCCTTACTATGTACTTTCTAGTTTTTATCAATTCTGTTTAATTTCATCTCCTTTTCATTGTCTTTTAAATTAGTCTTTTTTAATATTTTTTTCCTTCAGTTTATTTTGAAGTTTCATATATTTCACTAAGTGGATTTTTTCATACTTTTAATATTTTAAAATTCATAATTTTATTTTCTAACATAGTAAATATTAAAGACACACACACCTTAAAAATTTCTTTAAGGTTTTGTTTGATTTTTAAGAATATTGAGGAGTACTATTATTCCAAAAAGCTTCAGAACTGCTCTTTTACTCTCTTCTACCCTTTTGCAAAGAAGTTACTTTAGAGATCATCGCTATTACTGAAATAGTTACTTTAGATATTAAAAATGTATCCTTGACATGTTAACTAGTACTTATATCATTTTCACACAAGCACAAAGAACTTAGATCATTTTAACCAAAACCATTCTTGTCATGTTGTAATTATTAACAAATATATGCTAACATATTGTAATATAAAAAACCGTTAAAATTTGTCAACCTTTTAACTCCTCCTTTGTCCCCTGTATTTTTCTAGCATTCTATTTCTCTGAATAATTCATCTTGCCTTTCCTTCAGTGATGGTTTTAGCATTCTATGGCTACATGTAACAAAAGTCTAAATTTCACCTTCTTAAAAGGAACTTTTTCTGTGTATGGAATTCTAGACTGGCTGTTATTTTCTTTTATGCATATAAGTTTATTTTAATTAGTATTCAGGCTTTCATTGTTTCTGTTGAGAAATCAGTTATCAATCTAACTGTTCTTCTGTGAAGGTGTACAAGTTTTGTTTTGTTTTCTCTGCCTTCTAGCCACTTTTAATATGTTCTTTACTTTCTGATTCTGTAGATTGACTCCTTTTTACTTATTTGGGGAAATTCTTCACCATAGTGTTTTCAAATATACCCTTTGCCCATCTCTTCTCTTCTTTCTGCTTGGGACTTAAATCAAAGGAGTTGTATGTCTCTCACTGCAATGCTTTTCTCTTATTCTCATCCCCGTTCTCCCAAAATGTTTTCTTCCTAGTTATAATTCTAGATATGTCCAACTAATTAATTTTACAATTCATTAATTCCCTCTTCAGATGCTTTTAATCTGTTTTTAACTTTAACTCTATTTTTTTAAAATATATATTTTTCCAGTTTCTAATTGGTACATTTCATAATCTGGAATGTCAAATGTTCTCTGAGTTTCAAGACAAAGTTTCAAGCTTCTATCTTATCTCTTTGTAAACAGTAAGCATAGGGAAGTTGACTGAAAATTATGATATCTAGAGTACTTAAAGGCTGAGTTCCATCGTCTGTTGTTTTGTTACTCATGCTTTTCTCCTCATGTGTGTCATGGTTTTTACCCTTATATTCTTAGTTATTTTATCATGCCCAGGGCACAGTTTTTAGGAAAATCAATTGAGATTCAACATGATATTATCATCATCCAAAGAGGATTTCCATTCTTTAGCCAGGAGCCTGGGAAGTGTAGTCTAGGATCATTGCAAATCATGTCAAGGATGATATTCTCTGAGCCCTCTGGATGGCTTAAATCTGAGCTGTAGTTCCTGAAAAGATTTAATGACTTCTACTTCGCCATTGCTGTTAGCAAGCAGACACTTGTGATCTGAAACAGAAGAATGTTTACTAAAGCCATTCCTTGTGGAGGATCCTTCTCCATATTACTATGGGGTTTTCCTGGTAATTTCTTAATGCCATCTAAAATATCTATAGCTTTAAATATATTTGAACATAATTGTTCCCCTGTATTACAAGGTGACTTCAGTTAGTATATTGTATGAATTTCATAATATACCACAACTATAAATGGAAACCAAACATCTCCTATATTTTAACTCCATTATTGTGAAAAATTACATATACTTCCATAGTTAACAAGTCATTTTTTCCTTTATGGTATGTATGGTCAGGTAGTAATCTTCATATTCTTTTTAAGCTGTGGTGTTAACTTATTGTATCTAACTGACTATATAAGCAATACAAAATAATTCATTATTATACCTGGTTCTTATTATATTCTTGTTAAGTAATGAAGTCTGTATGAACAGCTCCAAGGTGTTGTAAATTTGGAAGCATATATTGGTAATCTATAAGAGAGAGAATACCCAGTAGAGTTAAGGGAGCCAGGGAACCTCAGTTCAAATTCCAGTTCTAACTTTACCAAATCTGATGAACTTATTAAGCTAATTTACTTAAATCACAATTTCTTAATTTTTTAAAGCAGGGTCTTTGTATCTCAGAGGATTATTGTAAGATAAACTGAGATAATGAGATAACAGGCCATGCAGTCATTTTGGAGAATAAATATAATACAGTGGAAAGAACATAAGATCTGAAATCAGGTATCTCATTTCAAATTCTATACTCCAAATTCTTTCATTGTTGTAAATCAGCTATCAGCATAGAAATGCTGCATAACCAAACAATCCCAAAAGTAGGTATACTTTAAGTGTTTATTTCACTCTGCTAGTGAGCTAGGTGTTTAGCATTAGGCACTAGGCTGGAGTTGGCTAGAGTTGGATGCAGGAGGTAGTTTGGGCTCTGGTCTGCTCCACATGTTTCTACCTTGGGTATGCTTTTTTTCATGGTAATTTCAGAAGCATGAGTACTAATTCCAACTCTACTTGTGTCATGTACATTAGTATTTCATTAGTCATAACAAATTTCATTGCAAAAGGAAAATCTAGGAGCAGGAAAGAACATTCTGCCAGCCATAAAAACAAAGTAAGTTACATGAAGTGGAAAATCTCCTCTCCAATCTTCTACAGAGAGTTGCAGTAACAGTTAAATGAAATGACATCTAAATACATTGTCAGGAATGTAATGCTCATTTAGTATATGATTATGTACATGCTTTGGCTTCACAACAACCAAATGATGGAAACAGGAATGGCTTATCTCATATGTTTTCTGTTTAGAAATGGATCCACCCATATTTCAGAGCTAGAGGCAAAAGAGGATTGTCATTGCCAATTGATATATGACTAATGGTTAATGATCTATGTTCATCTTAGATGGTGACTAAAACCAGAAAGGTTATGTACATGCACAGTAGGCACAGCAGAGATATTGTTATCACACTAGTAGTAATCACATAAGGTATCTTTCTTTGACTTGTCTCCTTTACCCACTTAAATATTTTATCCTGGGCTCATGTTCCCAGAAAGTAAAATGTCACTAATTAGGAAACTGAAGGGATAAGTTGATGAATTCTATTACAAAGAAATGTATTCACAATAAGAATTCACAGTAGAGAGTAGGAGATAGGATTCATGCCAAGTTGGGATTGCATAAGCAAGCACACACTTAAATGTTGATGGAAACATCTTAAACCGTAATGAGTGGCTGACATTTACTTACTGAAGGTAAATATAGTTAATGCACTTTTTTGCATCAATAAACTTGAAAATTTTATGAGAATTATAATATGACAAGATATGAAAAAACACACATAAGACATTTGAAATGAGACTTGTTTTAATGGCTAATTATATCTGATTTCCTTGCAGATCGTCTACATGGGATGGTGTGAAGCACGGGAGCAGGACTCCCTGCAAGATCGCATGTACTCTCCAACATTTCTGGCCCTGAGAGGCTCATGTCTTTACAAGTTTCTGGCACCTCCAGTAAGTGCTTTTGTCCAGTGTTTTACATTTTTTTCATATTATCACAACAGGAATGATACCAACTTAGCAATAATGAATAGCATCCTATCAATATATTTTGAAAATAAGATACAGAAGAGAGTCCAAATATGTCTGAAGATATCTTGCTAAACATGTATGTTGGTATTAAGCATTTCCTTTAAGCCTTTGAAAAGTCTAGAAGTCATTTCTGTTTAGACATTTATGATAACCAAACTACGTTATCCGTATGGCAGAAGTCTGTCTAAATCAAATCAGTAATTTTTTGATATTCTATATTCTAGTCATTGGGCTTTGTATTAAATATGTATGAGTAATGATTATACCTAAGATCTTGTTTTTAGAGGCATGTACCTTACACAACAGTAGATTCTTAATAAATATTTATTGAATATCAATACCAAATGCCCATCACTCTCTTTCAGATCTAATAATACATAGCATTGGAATTATTGAAGTTCAACTTGCTGCTATTTTGAATGTCTAGGTCTACACAAAGTTAAAGCACCAGAAAGACAGGAAAAAAGTCTTTCATATTTACACATTTTACTATATCCTTACTCTGAAAAATTTCTTATGATGGGACAGACAAATGTATGTTTCAAATAAAAATAAGTGAAACAACTTCATTGTAGTGTCCAGAGTCTTTAAAATGTTACAGTTTTGTCTTGGAATGACTTCCTGATATAAATTATGTCTTTAAAAAATTAAAGCCAGTGTTGATATATAATTCCATTTTTGTATGTGACTGGTGGTAAACTGAGTAAACAATATTACTTGTAGAGAATACAAATATTGTTTAAACTATGTAAAGACTTGGGCAAATGGAGGCTGTTGCATGTAACATAAAACCTTTTCTGAAAGAGGAAGAGAAATGATAAAGTTTAGACTAGAGGAAACCAAAACTTTACATATGGACTACTATGGGAATAATTCCACAATAAAAGACTATGTAGTATGTATGTGAATGTTTCACTTATGCATTGTTTGAATGAAATAAGGAAGGAAAAGGGCTTTTTCTAAAACAAATGACATGCTAGTTTCTCATTTTTTAAAGGTGACAACATGGGACTGGACCAGAGCAGAGAAAACATTTTCAGTTTATGAAATTATGTGCAAGATTCTAAAGGTATGATTAATAAGTCATGAAATTCTAATGGGTTTTCTTCAGCATAAGAATCTCATAAAAATGAGTGATATATATATATATATATGTATATATATATGTGTGTGTGTGTTTATGTGTGTGTGTGTGTGTGTGTGTGTGTGTGTATGTATCTATAAAGATAGAATGCACACAGAAATACATAGGCACCGTCACACTGGCTTAAATAGTTATTAAGCAGCTTCTGCCATCCTTCAATCTGGGAAGGAGAACAGAAGGAAGCTGGCTGGAGCTCATTTGGAAGAATTAGAAAGTTCAATTGGAAATACTTCTGAATTTAAACCTCAGTTATTACCATAGTTTTTTGGATTTGTATAATACAGAAGTAAAAGATTTAGGTAAGACTTGGAAATAGAAAATCAATAAAATATAAAGGTATATGTGAAGAAAGTTCTATTTTGTTTTAATCTAAGGTTCAGGTTCTCTCTCTGACTATACAAAAGAGTCTACAGCTGTCCTAAATCAATTACATTTCTGTGGGACCCCAGTTGTTGAAATAGGAAGTTACAGAGAGTTCTGTAAAATTCCAAATGGTTTCTATTGCCATTTTTAAGAATCAAAATGGGAATCATTTATAAAACGTAAATATTAATTTATATTCAGTTTCTACTCTAGGGTTCATAGGCTTGGAAGTACTACAGATTGATAATTACATCCTTGTTAAAGTCAACCTTGTTTGTGTAACCAAGGAGAACTAAGTTCCCTGCATTTTATGTCAGTTATTTCTTTTTCAGTTAAAAACTCAGTAGGGTGGAAAATGCTGAAACATTTACACATAATAAAATGTATCAAAAGTGTCTGAAGGCAGAGAGATAAAAATATATATTTAGCTCAAAAGTGTTCATAATTTTTCTTCCATACAGAATAATCCTAGATTAAATCTGACATTCACAAAAGGGCAAGAGCTATATAAAAAGAATCATTGCTGGCTCATCGCTGTGTATGGTTTCAGGCCTGTTGTGGGCCTAATGGTAGAAGAACATTCTGCTCTGCTTGAGCTCATTGTTAGGAGAGAAGGCTCTGGCAGCTCCTACAGGATGTACCAGCATCTGAGGAAAAGATCACCCAACTCCAGTTTTTTGAAATAATTATCAAAATGGCTAATGAGATAGCTTTATAACTAATTTTTTTTTAGAAAATCTAGTGGAATTCAAAAGAAAGAATAAAAAAGAAAGAGGAGGGAAGGAGGAAGCAAGGAAGGAGGGAGGGAGAGAGGCAGAAAGGGAGAAAGAAGAGATAAAGAAATCCAGAAAAATCACTACTTTAACAAATCAGTCCATTCTTTATCCATACATGAATATAACTTTTTCATACTAGTTATCCAACAGGTATGTCTTTCTCCTTATTTACACTTAATTGTAAACCATTTCAAAGCAGCTGCATGGTCTTTATAAACCCCTCTTAAAAAAGAAAAAAAACTGTTTTGAACATTTAAACATATTCAGTTTATTTTAATATTTGAAATAAGGACTATTTTAAGCAAGAGAATCACAATCATGTCTGATTCCATATAAATACTCAATATTTTATTTCTTTTGGAAATTACTTTGCAAAGTTAGGATTATGTGCTTTGTAATCTATGTTTTTATGTAAAAATGTGTCTTCAGATTTTTTTATGCCAATATGATTTTTAAAAACAATTACTTTTTGGTAGATTTTATGTATTCCATCATTTGGCCATATTTTTTTAGCCAATCTCTTAATTTTGCCATTTGGATACTTCTCCATTTGTTTTATAAAACCTACATTGTTTGTATTTGCTGTATGTCAGGTAATCTACTAATCACTTGTATGGCTGGCAGAAAGGCACAAAAAGTCCCTGTTTCCATTGAACTTATTCTTTACCAGGGTGACACAGACATTAAGTATAGAGAGACAAAAAAAATGGATAGACAAAATGGATCTTTGACTGTAGACATTTATGTAACTTCTAAGTTATTTCCTTTAATCTGAATTCTGCATTTTGGAAATCCTGAGTAGAACATACTCTGATACAATATTCAACATGTCAAGTTTAGATATCTAAATTGCCTCCTGGAAAAGCCATACCAATTTATACTGCTATCAGAAGTATCCAGAAGTGCCCCTGCATTTTCCCTCTGCCAAGATTAAAATCAAGGAGCACTTCACATTAATTTTTTTTGTGTAAGATTTGCTATAAGTCACTATAGTTGCTTTGGGACAATTTTTATGTAGGTGAGTGAGTCCTGGAGATAATAAATATTTTCATACATTGAATAAAATATAAATTTACTTCCACTTTTTACATGTAAATGAGAAAGCTCTCCTGCCACTAATAGGTACCACACTAATGTTCTACGCTTCATGGATTTACATTTGACATACAAAATTATCCTTTGAGAATTCTCTTTCCCAAAGGAAAATTTCATATAGCACAAGATAGAGGAGTGGACATGAGCCCCAGAGCTGAAGGGATTATGTTCCTGCATACAGAGCAGTGCCTGGAAGATGACTGGCTTGGCAAAGTGCCCAGTGTCAGATTGTTGGGTCTGGGATTGCCATCAAATAAGGCAAATTTAAAGGCACAGTTCACTGAACTGGACCACAGAGCATCTGGCCTGAGACCACTACTGGGGAAAACCCTCTGTCTTCTGATATGAAGCTATCCTACTATTAACAAAAATGAAGCAATAATAGCCAGTATATTTAGTTTACATGTGTGTGCCCAGTATTATCCTAGTGCTTTACGTAAAATTTATTTAATCTTTACAACACCACTAGGAGGCAGTATTAGTATTTTACAGCTATGGACACTGAGGCAGAGAAAGCTTATGTAAACTGCTCAAGGTCAAATAGCTAGTAAACATCAGAGCTAAGGGTTGGAATGTTGTAGTCTGTCTCCAGTATCTGTGCTCTTGAATGTTATACTATATTTTGCCTCTTTCTCTCTTAGTATAAGCATTGATAAATTGGAAAGAAATGAGAATGAGGAAGCCGTTAGGTACTGATGAGAGCAAAGTTTTCAGAATAAGAGAGAGCTTTCAACAAATGGCAACTCTGTTACTATATGCATTATTCTTCGCAAATGTGTCAGGCACAGATACACTTCATTTCTTCATCTGTTTAATGTGGGTTTTAAAGTATAGGTTGTGGTGAAGACTAGCGATTCATTAACTGATTTGTGCATGCATTTTCACTGATTTAGTCATTCAGTGCTACATGCCAAGCACTCCTCTGGGTAACAGAGATTCAATACAATTCTACCAGAGGGTTGAGCTCACAAAAGCCTAGCTAACCAGGGAAGTCAGGAAAGGCATTTTGAAGGAGGCTTTACATAAACTTGAAGTCTAAATGATTATTAAAGGAGTTAACTGGGGAAGATGTGTTTCAGTGGGGCCAGCATTTGGTGAGTTGGAGGAGAAGGGAGTGTTCTGGGCATAGGAAGTAAGGTGTACACTTGCCCAGATGTCCAAGAGGTCATATGTCATTCAAACAACTACGAAACACTCAGGTGGCTATGATTTGCTTGGCTGTAAGGTCTGTACAATCACTGTGAAAGGACAGTAATAAGGGATTTGGAGAACACTGGAGCCTCTGAAGGATTTGAAGCGTGAGGAGTGACAGAATTTGCCTTTTAAAAATGCTCTTCTAACTGCAGTGTGAGGGGGCCTGGGGGCGGGCAGGGATGCTCATGGGCTGCTGCGAAGATCTTGGTCAGAGAGGATGCACGTCCCAAACAAGGGCACGGGCTGGGGGCTGGGGGCTGGGGGTGGGCGGAGGACAGGGTCTTGAGCAGATGGTGTAAGGAAGGCCGGCGGCAGTCAGCACAGGCGCGATGGCTGCGTGCCTGCAGAGGCCAGGCCCCCTCGTGCTGCCCTTGTCTACCTGGTTCCTTCAGAGGAATGACTGGCTGGGAGCACAGCAGTACAGCGAATGGAGCTGCAAAAGGACACACCGTGCTTTGAATTGCAAACTAGGACTTTAAGAAAGCCCTTAATTCTGCCTCACAATCATGCGGCATTTTCTTCATCCATCCTCTTGCCTAACCTACTAGAACCTGTGATAAACCTTCATCCTTTCCTTCAAAGTACTTGTTCTCACTCTGAGGTGATGATCCTGCCTCCTGCTCACAAAGTCCCTCAGCCCTGTGAATGCCCACCGGCAGCCCTGCCCTTGCTCCTCCCCAGGCGGCTCCTCCCCCAGCAGGGGACCCCACCCCCACGGGCCACCAGGGACACCAGCATTCCCACCCGAAGCCGCAGGGCACATGCGCCACCCACGCATCGCCCCTCAATTCTAGGTAGTCAGTAGCATGCAGGCCTGTCTGGCAACGCGTCTGATAGCACCTCCAGCTCCGGTTACATGTCTCCAATTTAGGATCGGACAATTGGAGAGGAACCCAAAACAGCATGGAGATTAGATAAAAAAGGAAAAACAAAAACTAGAATTTTGTTTTTTGTTTTGTTTTGTTTTTTCTAGAAAGTGGAAGGAGGAGGCAGGATGGTCAATATATATTTTATGCAAAGTGGGAAAGCCAATACTGTAGATAATTAACTGATAACATACTGTCTCAGCACTGGTTGCACTTTACCATAAGAGGCCCTCTCAGGTGCCAAGCAACAGGGGTGTGTCCAGATGTTGTGGGACCTGTCACTTATTCAATTTTAGAGGCTCATTAATAAAAAAAAATGCAAAAGTAAGAATATGAAATTAGGCATGGAAGTGAATATTTAGAATGAGAAAATTTACTATACAGAATCATTTGATAGTTAAGTACTACACACATTGGAAAATGTATAAAAAGTACATTATATTTTTATTAACTAATACAGTGCTTCAGTACCTTTCCCTCTTATATTTTTGGGAAACTGTGTGTTCTTTGATCTTCAAATGAAAACAACTTTGCAATATCAATGTCTATCCCCGTGTAGCCTGGATCTCACCCTACAGCTGGATTTATGAGGTCAGTACCAATGGTCAGATTCTCCCTAGTGAGAGAAGGA